ACGTTTATCAACGTACGTGTAACGTATGGTTGCACATAACATATGTTACATGTACGTTTCACGTACGTATCACATACGTGTATTCCAAACATACGTTTAACGTACGTTATGTGAAACGTATGTAGTCACACATATGTTATACGTACGTTGTACCACATACGTGAAACGTATGTTTGTAATACACGTATGTGATACGTACATTTCACATACGTGATACATGTGTTATGTGCAACCATATGTAACACGTACGTGGCACAATTAGCTGTGTATATAGGGTTGTTAAGTATACAAAATATAGATTACTGATTTAATTCAAAATATGTTTCGAATTATGCAGAGAAAGATAGACGATTTACCAATGTGGAAAAGTGGAGAAATTCTCCAAAAATGTTCGCAAATATTCTTGCGCCGTAAATAGAATATATTTTGCATTACTGCATCTGTAGCTTTATGGTCAAATACTAAATAGATATAACCATAACGCTACACTTCTGCAGCTAGTTGCAGGTATCATTGATTTGTTGCTACTTAAGTAATCAATTTTCATTTAGAGTAGAATACGCTAAATTGAATTATGCAACAAAAAAGGCATTCATTAATTTTGTTAATCACTTGTATGGAAATTCATATGTCAAACAGGTGATTCACATTTATTTGTCTTTATCGTGTATAATTCAGTCAATCATGGTCATTTTTGAAAGAAAGTTGGAAGGCAACCCTCAGGAAATATGCATTGTAGTGTGATTTTTTTTTTCCATGGAGTTGAAAAGTTCCAATTCGCAAAGGATCTGTGTGCAATTTTTTTTTGTCTGTATAAGGTGTTGCTACCAGTATATCAATAAACATTTATAATAGATAAAAGTTGTGTTTAGATTTTTTTTTATACCTGATTAAACTTTCTTCGCTAATTTAATGTAATGATATGCTTAGTTTTCAACTTGAAACATAAACTAGCTTAGAATAAGTCCAATTTGTTCTGATGCTATCAATCAAACCTTAATTTAGACAGCATTAACTATTTTTTCTTCATTTAGTAGAAATAAAAATTGCTCCGATTAATAATTGCGCACTAAGTTGGTCAAATGTCCAGTTCTTTTTTATGTATACTTTTTTTAAATTTTTTACCAATTCATGATTCAATTTTAAAAACAAATCCTTCAGGCATTTGATTATTTTTAAAGAAAAAAAAAGATGTCAAACATTTTTACCACGAAAAAACCGTTTTTTAATTTTCCTTGTACATAAATCCACTACTGTTGTATTCCGAGTAATATTATTAGAATACATACTAAAACTTCTTACATTAATCAGGAAGTCAGGGTTTTATTTTAATAACTGATAAAACACAGAAGTACCGAGGGGTACTGGCAGAGAATTCCTCTTGTCTTCTAGTGACAGGGTTAGACATTTCCAGGAAGAAAATACATCTCAGTATCTAAATATTTTCATCTACACAAACTTATGTTGTTCATCTCAAAGCAGTAACAAAAGTCACATATTTCATAATGCTTTTGATGTTCTTCCTCGTTGAAATTTTTTTAAAACATTCAAATATTTTCTTGAGCATGAAGCCTACTGATAGAAACCTGCTCCGTGTCTCGGAGATATTGGAACAATTTCCGTTCTCAGTCAAAAGCCTCTTGATTGTTGTATCCCCATATACCGGGCATTCGAAATGGAAGTCATTTATATGTCCAATATATCCTAAATAAGTTAACGAGCTTTTGACAGACATGAGAGCTACAGTGCCAACCATTGAAAAAATTGTATGTTTATTGCGCACAAAAAAGTGCGCTCAGTTCTTCATTGATTCTTCTGAATTCTGAATTCAATTGTAAAAAAGCTGAATTAAAAATAATTCCTTACTCCTATCAAGAACTCTAAGAGTTGACATTTGTACGAAGCGCGTTAGACAAAATTACCTTGCAAACCAATATGGCAGAATTAATAGACGAAATTTTCAATAGAAATAGGTTATGTTTAGATCTATTATTATAATAACTTATTAAAATTTCCCCGCGAATTGACTGTAATTATATGGCAAGTTTTCAAATAGAAACTTAAACTCGCTTAGAATGTCTTGTTTGTTCTGATGCAATCAATCAAGCCTTAAGACATCATTAACGTAGCTTTTTTTTTTACATTTAGTAGAAATAATAGTAGCTCCGATAGTTTATCGCGCATTAAGTTGTTCAAACATCCAATACTTTTAATGTACACTATTTTTTTATTTTTTATCAATTTATTCTTATTTTTTTCAAAGAAATGTGTCAAGCATTTTTTTAAAGTAAAAAAAATTCCAAACATTTCTACCAGGAAAATACTGTTTTTCAATTTTCCTTGTAAATAAAACCACTACTGTTTTATTCCATGTATTATTATTAGAATACATACTAAAATTTCTTTTCATTAATCAGGAAGTCAGGATTTTATGTCAATAACTGATAAAACAGAAGTAGCAGGCGGTTATTGGTAGATAATTCCTCTAGTCTTCCAGTGACAGGAAAGGAAGAAAATACGTCTCAGTATCTATATATTTATCATCAAAATGTTAGGTTTTTCGTAACTAAAAATAAATGCAGGATTTCTACACAAACGTATGTTGTTCACCTTATTAACAAAAGCCACATAAATATTATGCTATTCATGTTCTTTCTTGTTGAATTTGTTTTGAACATTCAAAAATTCCTTTGTGTATGTAGTCTACTGGTGGAGAAGTGCTCCAAGTCTCGGAGATATTGGCGCAATTTCGTTCTCGGCAAAAACCTTCTGATTGTTGTAATCCCATATACCAGGCATTCGAAATGGAAGTCTTGTACTATAGGTCCTAAATATCTAAATATTTTAACAAGCTTTTTGTGCTAAACAGAATCCTCACAGCGATACGGTCTCTTGCGTCAAACATATGTCTAACTTTCTGGAACCTGAAAGTTGATTTAAACTTATAATTTACTTATCCTTCTTTCTGTTTCACTTGATAAAATAACAGCCTTTCAGAAATTCACGTCCAACTTGCCCTTCAATGACATAATATTAATGTTATGCATTTTTTTAAAATATGCACATCATATTAATTGAGAAAAACTCTAATTAATTCCATGCTTTTTCTCTTGTCAGATTTCAAACTCTTTAAAAGTATCCGTTTTACGATATTTCTGACAATTTTAATTTAACACATTATTACGATTAGAAATTTTTCAAAAATATTTATTAGTACATTTCAATTCTAACTTATATTTAAAACATATATATAGCAGATTCTTATGAAATCGGCGTTTCTGATTAGTTGAATAACTTCAGGTTGATCGCGGGTTGCTGTCAGTCTGAAAACATAAGCTGAAAAATTGTTAAATCCTTTGGTTTCATATTTCTCTTCCTGAATTGTTTTAGATTCGTCTGCGTGGTGATGTTCTAAAAGTATTTCATATGCACTCTGTTGATGAGAAAATGTGAAGTTATTTTTCAATGAATTATAGTAAGGTGCTCCTTTCAACCGGAAAACGCATTTCAAAAACTTGCTGATGATGGTAAAATTAAGCAGACGAATTAAATATTACTCAACACAAGGAATGTGTAATGTAAATACAGAATCGATATGATTTTTTTTTTAAGTTTAATTTTTAGTTTTCGCTCAATTTCTCGGAGAAATATATTTATTTATTTTTTTTTTTTTTTGCACAAAAGTATATTTTCATCCTGACGTTATATTACTGTAGTATGTCGTCATGAATGCACGTCTGCATGAAAACTTGCTTTTTATTGATGTATGACAATGTTAATGCAAATATTGTTATAGTTTACCGATGAAATAAAGAGAGAAATTTTTTCTCGTAATAAGCTCAAACAGTGCGAAAAATTTGCAACAAATCTACGTTTTTGAAGGTCCATAAAGTTCTTATACAAATGCCACACATTTCTTAATAAAGTCTGCATCGGAAAACTTGTATAATAAAATTTTAACATAGAAGATAATTCAGTAAATATATCAACTCAAAACAATATGTGCACTATTTTACAAACGTTATAGGTGTCAATAATTTGTATATGCAAGCTGCATGGCCCAGTCTGACGTTTCATTTCATTTATATAACAAAAAATATTGATTTTTAAATTATATCATGTCTAAGGACGCCACTCATCTTTTTTTAATTCCACAGTGCCAATAATTGTGTGCATAGACCAAAATTTTTATTAAATTCAAAGCAATACACGATAATTTTAGGGAGACATCTCGTATGCTCAGATGGACGCCACAAAGAATAGTCCGACTGCGCTAGATTTATGACATCATAATTAGAAATATCCTATTTTCGACACACAATAGTGGTTTTTCCACTTCTTTTTCAACTGCGGTATATTCGAAATTGTGCACTCCTTTCAAAAAGCGTATATACCTATTTTAAATTAATGACCTAAATGTATTCTTATAATTACAAGTTGCTAGAATATATGTTTTGTCGCTGACGTCGTTTCAACCATATTAGAACATAATTTTATGATGAGAGGTTCCGTTCGGATGGCCGATGTGGCTTAATTTTCTGTCCATTTTTAAAGCATATTTCTTGCCGTTTTCACCTAATATATTTACTATCTGTATAGTATGCGATACTAAAGATATCAGAAATTCTAATTTGTTTCCTCTCTTCATAGTATTGTAAAAGAGTCAGAGGACTATAAGCATGTCTTTAAGGCTGAAAAAACAGAGGATGATTTTCGGCGGCAGTTGTCGTCCGAGCAAATTCGGAAGAGAAAAGTAAGCCTGGCGACGTTTCCAACATAAGCAGACCACATTCGAGACCAAAGAAACGTAAAACAACAGGGGCCCATTTTACAAAAGAATTGACGATTAAGACCAAAAACTTTAATTAGATTGTTAAATTTTGTAAAAGTTAGATTTCTGTTCAAAATTGTTATATTAAACGTTTTTTAAATCATTTTAAAAAGATTTTTAATATTTTTGGAATCATTGTAAGAAGAGTAGTATGAGCAGAATTTTCTTCTTAGTTGTAAGGCCTTCTGTAAACGGGCCCCAGGTTCTCTGATGATTCTAGTTCCAGCTCATCCATTTCTGGTTCCTCTCGCTCCTCCTCAAGCTCTGGTTCTGAGTGAAATTCTTTCAAATCGCTTGTAATCTGGGACCGAGTAAAGTATTTTAATGTAAAACTTCGATCTAACTATACTCACGGAGAGCATGATCAGAATTATTTAGATATTATACTTTGAATTCTTAGAAAGCTTCCATCTGCAGTTTTCCAGTAGAAAGGTTCTTGAGAAGACAACACAGGACAACTGTTGATCAGGAAGAAGTTTTTTCATTCATGTTAGCTGAAATTTAAAAAAAAATACACATGTTTTTCCTATATATTTCGATAGTCTTTATCGTTATATTCTGAAAATATTGACATGGAAATAAGATTCAAATTGTCAATTTTATTCTGTACGATAATTTTACCTTTGATTTCATAAATGAGCGAAAATCATTATATAATATTAAACATAGGAACATTGTACCTCAGGTTCATCATCTGAAATTACATAAATAACATAACATTTATATCTATTGGATATTACATATTAAAACAATTACACATCTTCATGAGTAAGTGCGTTAATTCTAAACATTGTAGCTTCATGAATCTTGTGATATTGTTTTTGTTGTAACGAAGATTGATAACATTCCAGTGCTCCCAAATAATCCCCACAGATCTGTCGACAGATACCTAGTATTTGCCACGAAATATCTCTGGATTCAGTAGGTACATTATCGCTGTCATAGAGCAGCAGAGTGTGTAGATCCTGTAGAGATTGTTGTGACCTGACTGTGTCACGCAGTTTGTGGTGATTCAGTGTAAACAACATGCGTAACATCACTAGAGGCGGTATAATTAATACTGGCATGTTATTCTTTTCACTCATCCGCTGTTCCAACTCTAGTTCTCTAATGTAAATATGCTTATAGAACAAGGTAATATCTTTTATTACAACTGTCTTTAATTTTTTACCCAAAGGCATCTCAGTCATGCACTGTCTGTCCAGAAATGCATAATGATTATACATTATACCGGTATTTGACTGTGACAATCTCTCCTGTTCTTCCTGCAAATAATGTAGGGAGTGTTCATATCTACAATCTCCGTACAAGTACATAGCAAGAAACAGAATGTCTGACACACAACCAAACCTGCACGATAATTTAAGAAAAAAAGTAACTTTATTCACTTTGTAATAATCCTTATTGCGATATACATGTATGTGCGAATGGATACTTTTCTGGATAAGAAAGACAGTGTTCCGTAAATCACCTGAGGTCAGAAACTGTAATGTCAATATCTGATATGGTGTTAAGTTTCTACGAAGGATTGGCTTTATATGCGTCATGTGAAATAAGAGCTCCTTAATACATAGAAATCTCGAATCTAACATTTTTAATTCCTTTAAAAACTTTAATTCAAACATTATGCTTTTTTTGAAGCTGCTTTCGTCTGTACAGACCCTCAATGTTTTGTATAAAACAACCTCAATGAGGTAAGGTCTCAAAGTTTTACTCAATAGTAAACATGATATACCCTTACGATACAAATCATACAAATGACTGAAGGTTAAAGCTTGTACAGAACCTGTGACTTTCACTCTAAACATGTTGTTTTCTGGAATAAAAAAATTTGGACATTCTCCAATATGTACCCAGTGTATTAGTAATTTAAAGCATTCCCAGAAGCAAGACAATAAATTATCGGGTGACCAAGTCAAGGAATTTCTATTCTGAATTAACCAAAAGATACATGTTTTTATGAAATATGAACATAGAATAGGAGTATTATTTTTAAAATTTATAACTTCTTTAAGAAAAATTTTAAAGAGACCATAACACAAAAACTGACAGTGATTCATTGAATACACAAGTTTTTGTTCGGCTTTCGAAAATGAGATTCTCCATTCCATTGTATCATCTGGTGTGCTGCCGATAGGAACAACGTGGAATCCTGCTCTTAATATATCTGATATGACTACCTCAGACAGCCAACCTTGTTGTCGACATCTTTGTATCCATGGCAGTGCTTTTGTCGGCCAGTGTTGTGACTGTACACAGAATGCAACGTCTGCTTCCTTATCTACAGCAACGTATGTAGCGCAAGGCCCATGATTGAAAGAAGAGGCATAAAAGACATTACTGGATCTAAGATGTTGCAAATGTTTATCGCGAAATAATGTACTAGAAATATAAAATTCGTCATTCATCAACACACAGGAGAAATTAACTATAGGATCATTTGATGGACTAATTAATTCAAGTCTGGTAAACCCCGGTGGTCGATCATCGCATTCCATGAAAATCACAGTGTGTTGTGGAATACGGTAGAGACTGATCTGAGAGAGATCACATATCACCTTGTGACCTGGAGGCCAACACATCCAATCTTCATCTGAAGTTCTCAGTCTGAATCCCTCACGTCTACTCCCACTCCTCATTTGCTCAAATCCCCTCATTATATTCACAGGTCTACGTACCTCCTCCTCAATGTCCATAACTTCTCTTCTGATTCTCACTTCTGTAGGGCTCCCTATCTCATGACACAGTCCCACATAGACTGCATCTGAAAGTCGCGGAATGTGATCCATATTTCCCAGATATTATTGAGAATTAAGTAGCATAAATCTGTAAAAGAAAGTGATGCGTTATTTATTCCACAATGAAAATGTTTGAAGACCAACGATGTAATATTTCTTTAAAATTTATCAAGTTCTTATGTGTAATGGAGAAGCATGTAAATGTTCACAAAATATTGTTGAAAGACAATTGGAATGATAATAATTTATCATGGTACCAGAAAACTTTGACGGACTTAAATCTTCCCCGAAATTATAGGATACTTTTTTCTGATCCATACAAACAATTATTAGAGTGTTAAGGAAAATGAAATTATGTACCTGTTTTATTTAATATAGGTGCAAAACATTAAATTATTATAGCTTAAAATTTTTATAGAATATTTAGGATAGTTTTGTGAATCATGAAATTCACAGCTCAAGTTTTTTAACAGTAGGGCTACATATCAATGACCGCACTCCCTTGAGTTTTATTTGTTTTTCTATGCAGTGGCATGTTTTATTACACGGAATCTACGAAAATGTGTTAAAAAATAAACACATATCAAGAAAAAAACTTTAGACAATAGGCATTACCATTATACATGTTATATACAATTAAAAAAAAAGTATCAAATAACATTTCAGTTAACAAGCTTAAAATGCGTATACTGCCTAATTAACTTTAGCATAACGGGCGAAGCCCGTTATGCAAATTATCCCATGTTTCCCACTATTGTTGATGTCCTCGCATACTCTCAAAACTAGACAGTGATTCCTTAAACCACTTCTTTTCATAGTGTTTATTAAGTCTTTCAACCTTTCTGCGGAAAGACTTATTGCTTTTCTTCTGTAAATTTCTATTATTTTTCTTCCGCTGATTTTTTGTTTCGACATTTATAGAAGGGACTTTTTGTTCATCGTAAAGGTCATTAAAAGTAAGAAACAGATTTGACCAACGCATATGAACTATGACCCCTTTCGAAGTTATTGCTTCTTTAGCAAAAATTGCTTGTTATCGCTACTCCTCCGAAACCATAAACCATAGAGGTACGCGTGCTTCACCAATGTCTTCGACTAATTTAGTCGGTTCTCCAAATTGGGAAGTACGAAAGAATTCCTAAACTCCTTCGAGTAGTTATTGCCCCTAAAAGTTTTAAAGCTTAAAAAAAAAAATTTAAAACTTTTAAACGACAAGTGGTAAAGATATGGGACCAACTGCATGAGATCTTATGACCTTTGATTTTGAAAAGTAGGTCAAGGTCAAAGGTCAAGGTCATTCAAAATATAAAAAAAATAAGTTTTTTTGTAGCTCCTTCAGTCTTCAACAAATTTTAAACATCTTTGCATCTTTAATATGTACTCTTAAAATCATTTCAGAGATTTCATGCTTGTCCCCTAAGATTGACCCCTCTAAAAGTTAATGCCCCTTTCAGTGTAAACCCTTGTTATCGCTACCCTTCTGAAACCGTGAACTGCAGACGTTCGAAATCTTCAACAATGTCTACGACTAATTTAGTACACTCTTGAATCTATTCATTGTGAAAGGATTCGTCAACCATTTAAAGTAGTTATTGCCCCTTACAGTTTCTGATGTTTACGAAGAGCTAAAAACTTTTTAACGACAAGTCGTAAAGGCATGGGGACAATGCATGAGAGATTTCAACCTTTGACCTTGAAGATAAGGTCAAGGTCATTTATCAAAATTGCTTATATATGGTTTTTCTTGTAAATAACCTTGACCTTTGACCTTCAAATTTGAACTTGACCTTTGACCTTGACCTTTTTTCACAAGTTAAAAAGATATCTTCATTACCTTCACCTAGATTGAGCTTCAAATGTAAAGTTCAACTCTATAAGTGTTTTTTTTATTACCATGACCTTTGACCTTGACCTTTTACCCGAAGGTCACAATCAATCTTAAGTACGTGGAGGTATTTACAACTCTTACTTTAATAAAGACTAATATTTATATTATACCCCCCCATTCTCTAAAAAAAAAATCAATAGCTGCCTGAAAAACTTTAGTACAAGTCAAACGGAACCAAAGATGAACATAAAATCCAGTTTAGCATGTACAAGACACCTCAAAGAAAGTGCCCTGAGAGTTTTACGGTGAGTCTCTTAAGTACAATTAAATTCTAGTGAAAATCGGCAAAATCTACCTTTTTTTTTTTTCCTTCTGAAATTTAATTGTTGCTGAGTATAAAAAAAATTAAAGCTTGTATTGGCTATTTTTTCTATTGTTGTTAATATAATTTGATTCTCCTGCTCTACTACAACATTTTAATACCAAATATTCTTGCTTTCTTCAGTATGTGGAATTTATTTCAATTTTATTTAGATTTAATATTTATGGAATGAATCTCGAAAATAGCAATTTTTCCTGTCAAATAAATTTCCACGCTCTCAATGACACCTTTTTTTTTCCTGAGATGCATGTTTCAAGTTAAATTTATGCTGGTAACTACTAATTCAATTCAAATAGTTCTTAATGATTATTAAATTTGCATGTATACCCGTTAATAACAATATTATAATTGTAATCAGACAATATCCCTTACATTTTAACTCGAAAACAATCCCCTTCAAACTTACATTTACACCCAGGAGCTTGTCAGAAGTTATTAACTGGAACTTCTTGACTGGTCAATGAAACCCCGGTATCTTTAACTCGACAATAATACAAGATAATTTCAACGGAACCCGTGGTCTAGTGGTTAGAGCGCTCGACTGCTAATCCGAAGGTCCAGGGATCGAATCCTCCTGGAAGCAATTTTTTTTATTTTGGATTTTTGATTTTTTGGCGTTTTTCTGGTGTTTTTCTTCATTTTTTCAACCCAAATGACACGGAAAGACTTTAAAAGGTGGAAATACGTTTTATTGTTCTCTGAACAATTAGTTTACTAGTTTCTACTTCTGTTTTTTAAACCTTTCCGTTAAGTCCATGTATCCCCCATATAAGAAAAGAGTACGAGTCGACAACCAGACGAAGGTTCGCTCAAGTGTATCGAGCTCATTTGAGTATATACAAGTCATGTATGTACACGTACACCTTTACAATAAATAATGTTATCTGAAACGAATATGGTAAAATACGGCTAGTGGGTATCTTGGGGGTACATTTTATTTCCAGATTTTTCTTTTCTTTTTTAGCTCACCTGAGCCGAAGGCTCTAGTGAGCTTTTCTGATCAAAATTTGACCGTTGTCTGTCGTTGTCGTAGTCGTCGTCGTTGTCGTCGTCGTTAACTTTTCACATTTTCATCTTCTTCTCAAGAACCATTGGGCCAATTTTAACCAAACTTGGCACAAAGTATCCTGGCACAAAGTATCCTTGGGTAAAGGGAAATCAAGTTTGTTCAAATGAAGGGCCACGCCCTTTTCCAAGGGGAGATAATTATGCATTAGAGAAAAATTAATGGCATTTCAAAAAAATCTTCTTCTCAAGAACCACTGGGCCAGGAAAGATAAAACTCATGTGGAATCATCCCCAGGTAGTGTAGATTCCAGCTTGTTCAAAACATGACCCCCGAGGCAAGGGTGGGGCCAAAATGGCCGACCCAAGTTTTACATAGGGATATATAGGGAATCTTTTAAAATCTTCTTTTCAAGTACTTCAAAGCTATGATTAGTGATATTTATATGGAATCATCCTCAGGTAGTGTAGATTCTAGTTTGTTCAAATGATGAACGCCTGGAGGGGGGAGTAAATTCAAGCCCGATGTGCTCAGGTGAGCGCTGTGGCCCCTGGGCCTCTTGTTAGATAGTACCTTTAATAATAGATGTTAAGACTTTACCTATGAAAAATATAAAAGAATAAATCATAAATAAATCATTGAAACCAAATATTTGAGTTTTATAAATTGATCAATGAAGCGACTTTGAAAATGAAAAGAGAAAACAATTATCAACACTAGAATTTAATTGATTGATTGATTGTATACTGTTTAACGTCCCTCTCCAGAATATTTCACTGATATGGAGACGTCACCATTGAGCGATTGACTCAATGTTTACTCTGCGCAGATGTGAAACAGAAAAATTATATAGTTCTGTGTAGAGCAGTGCAATATATATGCGTTTTGAAGCGGAATAAAAACTCGATTAGAGTACATTAAGTGTCTTGAACATAAGTTTATAGTGCTGTCACAGTCATTTAATTTAGTGCACATTAAATGTGGTAAAAAGTCGTATGCTCATTGAACCTGTTCACCTAGACGTATAGTGCATAAATTATATATGTGTAATAGAGAAATTTGTATATTTTTTATCAATATTTTGAAATATTAAGTAATTTAAAAATTCCATTTTACTTTCTTGGAAAACATAAAATTTCCACACAAGTAAATTCTTGAAATGAAAAAAAAAAGATATCGTTAATGAAAATCAAAAAAAGATAACATTGAACTTTGAATGGAAATTTGAAGCACTTAGCTTTAAAAAATATAGAATAAAGGGGTTTTACCAAAACATTTAAATATTTTAAAAATTTCAAAAAAAAAAAAAAAAGAAATACGCTGGAACCTTATTTCATCAGATATTGAGCCTATTATAAGAAACAAATGAATGCACAAAATATCAATTATACTTCACAGGTGTAGAGATCCTCCTTAATCTACATTATGACCAACGCTTTCACTTTTTTTTTAATTTTCTGGCCCTTTGGTTCTTTGAAGAAATTTTTTTTTAAATGTTTCCTTTATATCTCTTTGTAAAACTTTGAGTGCCCAATTCTATCTTCGGGGTTATGAATAATCTGCACAAAAAACACTAAACTATGAATATGACTAATATCTTACTTTATATTCTTTTTATCAGCATTTTAAAGGTTTATCCCTGTATATTCCGATGCATACTCTGGCTGCCTTTTTTGGACAACCCTACCATGAAGGATCTTGATTTGAAAATTTTGAATCTACTAAACCTTTGATGGCTCCACATCGGTTCTCAATCAGAAGATTTTTAAAAATACCATTTAATTTTCCCTTATTACTTATCATTTCAACTTCGAAGAATTCCTTTCACCCATTGA